TGCATTTCGGTCTTCGGAGGTCCGATTGGTTCTCCCGAGCGTCGGCTGGTTCAGATGCCGCCAGCACAATGTCCCTTAATCGCCGCCTACGTTCCGCATACTGTTCGCTCTGCCTTCGCTAAATGTATACCTTACACTGCAGTATGCCGAGCAGGAAGCTCCTTGAACTCCCGTAAATTGTGTACGCCGCTTAAATACGCGTGGTTGCATTATTTTCTAAGGCGAGGGCAGCTTCAAAGTGGCCATCAGCGAGCAGACGGCGCGACAAGCACGAAGACCCTTGCGCGTGCGCGCGCCGAGTGATTCGGTCGATGCACGAAGGAGCACGCTTTGCGTCATCGTGCGTGCCTTCGTCGCGTCTCCATGAAGAGCGAAGGGAAGTGGACGTGCGAACGAACGCAGCGAAAGAGCACCGCTGGATCCCCGCCGCGACGTCGCTATACCAGTCGAAACCATGACCGTTTGAACGAAAAACGGCGGCATGCACCGGAGCAATTAATGCTAACGCAGATTAATTAAACAAAAGCACGCTGCTATACTTATATTGCTTCCCCGGTACAGCATTAGGTACAAGGAATGTAAATAGCACATATTGCGGCGAATTAAATCGTGCATATGAATCTAGAATTAGAAATACACGTTTAATGAGGCAAACTACGGCCTACAAACTTAAAGAGAACGTCACCAGGCATCCAGAGTCAGTGACGAGAAGGCCAGTCTCCCGAAGTCGCGATTTACCGCTGAATTTAAACGCGTGGTACGTTCACGAGTGTTCCAACCCAGAACACACGATGACAAACAGGAATGTGCTGCAGCTTCCCAGAAGAAAAAAGATGGATAAATAAAGAACTGGGCTGGCTGGGATCCCCGATTTTCTGCGTAGAAGCCGTGTGCGCTGAAAACTCCGCCACGCACGCGGCAATATATGGATGGTGTCCGTGACGTTTATTCGGTAGTAGAAAGGGGGCCGGATAAATAAGCCAGAGAACGGATTTGTACGGATATTTTTACCAAGTCACCTTCAGGTGGCGTACTTGTCGTAGCAAAGTTTTGTTTGACTAGGGTGCCAAAACAAAATGCAAGAAAGCAATCCCGTATTATCCCCACGTAATTTGGTAATTTAAGTGGTAATTTGTAGTCGTAATTAATTACTTTTGGCTAAAAGGAATTGTAATTGTAATTTGCTTACTTTTTTGCTTCAGTAATCGCGAAATTTCCGGCATAATTACAATTCTTTTTGCAAGACATTGTGGCGCCGACGGAACCTCTCGAAAGCCTCAGCGCTCGCACAGGAGGCCTAGCGCTCGGTTGTACACTCGCACACATTGACACGCATGCAGACGCACGCACAACAAAAATAGCGTCAATTTTTTTTTTTTTTGCTTACATTGCGGGTTGACTGAAAATTTTCTTTGTAGCCTACCTCAACGACGCCGTGGAACGCCATCTGCGGTGCGAGGAGATAATAATAGGGTAAACATGCCAAAATATTGAAAAAGAAAGAAAAAAAGATTGAGGTTCAGCTTTCATCCGAGCTTGAAAATTTTATTGTCTATAAAGTTACTTTTCTTTTTTGTCTTTTGCCAGTTTTTTACGTCCCTCTTCCAGCACTGTCGTATATTTGTTTCTTCGTATTATTTTGAAGTCTATTTAATTGTGGTTTAACTTCTGATATTATTTGCATATGCATTTTGGAGACTGATCTCGCACCTTTGAATTTTCTCACCAATGATTCAGGAGCCACCTATTCGGTCCTTATATATCTCTGAGCCATTATAATTCAACTCAATCTAAATCATTTACAATAACATGAAGTTTGTATGTGAATGTGGTTGTATTAGAACTGTGGATGTTAGTTTTATGTCAACACTTGTAAAATATTCATATATGACTAATTTTCGCAATTTTATTTGCCTTGAAAACAAAAGTCTCTCAACCCAGTTTTTTCTTTGCCGATCTGGCGTCTTCCAGGATATGAACTAGTTTAATAATATTTATTAAAAATGTAAGAACCTGGCACTTCATTGCCCCAAACTGTCAAGCTCTGTATCAAGGTTAATAAAATTCATAAATGGAAAGTGCCATACGTGACATTTATGCATCTATGCTCAGGCCTCCCCAAACATTAGGGAAAGGAATGAACATATGCGTTGCATTCAATAGAACATACCCGCAGTCGGGTCGCTCTCAAAAATAAGTAATTGCAAAGTAATTTTATTACTTTTTAAAAGCAGTTTGTAATTGTAATTAAATTACATTTTGGAAGTAATTTACCAATTTATGATTTATATATATATATATATATATAAGTGAGAGAGAGAGATGGAGATAGAGGGAAAGAGAGAGGGAGCATGTAGTGTCGTAGGAAAATAAAGTAAACGAAGTTCCCAGTGGCCGATTGCTGCAGGATCTTTTCTCGAATCACTAGTCCGTAATATGATACCTCTTTGTACACAGTAGTTTCTCCTCACTTTTACTGTGTGAACGATTGCTATAGTAATCAATAACCTCATATCTGAATAAAAATTTATGAAAGATGTTGTTAGTTTCATGAAACTGGATCTCAGAGTCACTTCTCGTATAGGGCACTGAAAGGACCCTATTTTGAGGAGTTGTGTCTTTCTCAAACAAATAATGCAATATGTTTTAACAGAAATGAATGCCAAAACAGAGTATGACAGAGTACCCAAATTTTCAACAAAAAAAAATAGAAGGTGGTGTTTTTGTTTTATTTGCATCGGAATGTTTGGTTGTTTGATTTTTTCCCCATTTTTGCCTAAATTTATTCCAACTTTTCCATCACTCAGATACCTTACATATTTTTAAATAATAGTCATGTCTAAGTGGAATACTATCCGAAAAGTATACGATAATGACTAAATTATTTAATTAAGTACAGACCTCCAAATTGCGCCACTTGTCGTTCAAGCAGGCATGTTTAGAAATTTTTCGAAAACGAAATATAATAGAAATAAATATAATGACTACATATTACAAGTACGCTATACCCATAGTTCATTTCTAAAAAGTATCAGAATTCTCCTAATTTTAACATTTTAATTATTCACTTTCATTCGCTCTATCGTCCTATGCTCGAGTACGCGTCAATTGTCCGGGATTCATGTCTCAAAAAACAAGATATAGAAAAACTGGGAAAAATCCAATGATTGAGTGCGCGATTTATTTTTTCTGATTCTAGGCGCTTCTTTTTAGCGTCTCTAATGTTACAAAAATGTAGACTGGAATCGTTCAAGACCAAACGGAACATTGCTAAATTCGGAATCTTTTATAAGATCTACAATAATAAATGTGGTTTAAACAAAGACATACATTTTTCCTCCTCTCCGGTACTCAAGAGGTTAAATCACTAAAAAGATGTTAGATCATATGTGCCTAAAAATAACACATTTATATACTAATTTTGTACGAACTGCCAACGAGTGGAATTCATTGCCATCTGACTGTGTAGATGCTCCAAATATTGATTGTGTTGACTTTTTTTGTTTTTTTTTTTAGAAATGCGATGTGACCCTCTCCTTCTAGGATGGTGAAAAATCATTGCAGTATTTTTTTAAATAAGATAAATAAGTAAATAAATGGAGTCATGCACTATACTTTCCAAAAGCAAGGACATTGACTTCTATACATCAGCATTTATTATTCCCTTCTTTCTGCATTGTCGAGAGCACTCTCCCCATATCTATCATTCTGGAAAGTTCATTGTTTTCTTTGCATCGGTTTTTTCTACTACCGAATACTGCTCGCGGACACGTAGCAGTACTTTTTGGTCCTTGTCAGTGAAATATTGAACGTTCAAGGTTATAGAAAAAAATGGCGACCCTCACTATCAACGTCTTTTAAAAAAAAGACTAGCACAAGACGGCAGAAAGCGTTCAATCGTTTGGTGTAGCGAACACTCGGTCAAAAGAAACAACAGTTGTAAAGTACTTGCTGCGTCTATCGTGAGATTGCACGTAACAGGCGCGATTCTCAGCTGGATAAACACCTGCCCCCGCCGTAAAAATGTTTGAGGATGTTAAACTTATTTTTTCTTCGTGTTCATGTTCTGTCTTCATGTGCGTGGAAAATCTCCCAATAAAATATAGCTTGGAGCGAACTATGAACTGGTTGCAAGCCGATGCCTATTTTCATGACTCATTTTACGGCAAGTGCGTCGATTCGTAAAACCTTATAGATGGTACGTTTTATATGTGTTGGTTGCAAATGTTGCATTCGGTTGTAAATTGACCACATATGAAAGATAAAAAGCTCTTCACGTAGGCTTGTCGACCAGGACTGCCAATTCGGAAGCAAATAAAAAGTAACTCCCCACATACGCGGCCTTACTTTACGATACCAGAGTTATAGCTCTATTTATGATGCGGTAAATAATTCTACATTTAGGCGTGGTCCTGAAACTTAGGCGGCAGTATCCTTCACTTAGGCCGATACCAAGATATAAATAGAACCGCACAAAAGTGGATAGTACAATTTAAACCCTATTTACGTATGTCCCGGAAACAATATTATCGCTTTATGCAACTGCCATAATTAGGTGCTGATTAGCTTTTTGTTAGTCGCATTCGGAAAGCGCAACATGTTCTGTTGTTCGAACGGCTGACGTAGCTCCATAGTAAAAACGCTTACGTATAAGAAACTTCATTGCCCAGTAAACGAATATGATCAAATAACATTATATAAGAGCATACAAGAACCTTCTAAGACCATGCAAGAAGAAGATAATATTATATAGCAAGTTTTAATAAAAATTTTATCAGGTTTTTATAACATCTTACGTAATCTCATATTGTCCTTTTATGTTCTTATAACGTTTTTGTATGCTTTTATATAATGCTATTTGGTTATATGCGCCCATTGGACATAGAAATTGTTTATACACATAAGATTTTTTTACTTGAGAGCGACTTGATATTCAAACAAACGGAACGCAACTGCACGAGAACAGAACCGCGCTAAAAGCAACGACAAGGCAGACTTACCTTCGGGTCTTATTCTGTGGTCATACCGAACGGGATCCAATAGATAGTCCAGAATTTGCTTGTCCGTATAATTGTGGAATCTGCGCAGACCGAGTTTCAACACAATATTAATTAAACTACAACCAAATCGGTTGTGATAACAGTTCGTCGCACATTAGAAAGAAAGCTGCGTAGTGCGTTGATATGCATCAAATTAAGTGGCCCTCGGTGCTCATTTCTTGCGAAAGTCTTCTAACCAGAAAGGGCAACACTTTCTAAGAATCCTTGCCAAAACGATTTTTTACCGGCAATCATAAGAAACCATTTCTCAGCTTGTTAAAAAAATACTCAGAATCAAAATGTATTTAATTGCTAGTAGAAATCATGTGCACTACCAAAATGAAATTTGCCTCCAAAACGTTCAGTTCAATATTGAAGTAACCAAACTCGTTTTGATCCGAGAGAAATTTCGAAACATGCGTCTCTTTAAGGACGTCGATTCCCAAGTAGATGCACGTCGAAAATAGTCCCTGGAGAAGGGGAACAGGAGGGACAAAGACCAAGACAAATCTCCAAAACACAGCTAGGTGACCGGTGCGCAACCAAAAAAATCCGCCTGGTTCGGGTACCGAACCCGGGACCTCACAATTTCCCGTGGAGCGCTCTACAATCTGAGCTAACCAGGGGTAGTCGTCAGTAGAGCAAACAAGTTCTATCAGCTGCCACCTGTATATGAGCAACAAAGGTGAAAGCTTGAAATTTAGAGTTATCCATTACAATGCAATTAAATGCAAAAGGTGCAAGCGAGCTGGTCAAGTAGCGCACCAGTCCCATAGCTCTGTTTGGAGATTTGGGTTTGTTCTTTGTCCATTTTTTTCCCTCCTCCAGGGATTATTTTCGTGATTCTTGTCCAGCTCGCTTGCACCTTTGTATTTAATTGTATTACAATCATAGATGCATATTTCGGTATCACTCAAATATGAATTGCGACGTCAATATGGCTTCGTAATTGCTATTCTTGTTCGAAAAATCACTTTTGTAAAGTGCGTTGTCTAGAGATGCACTCAAATGTTTTTGACAGTTTAGGGTCACTTTAAGTTGTAACGATGGCGTGAGTGGACACTACTGAGTACCTTCGGTGTGAAGAAGAGTCGCCCAGAAAGGAAATTAGCTAAAATGAGAAATCTTGTGTCTAGTAAAAGAAACACATCCTTTTTTTCAGAAAAACAAAATTGTTTTATAATATATGAGGAAATCGTTCGCATTCTGAAGAGACACGCCCACCACCAATGGCCGCTATTGTCACATTTCTTTCTTTTAGCGGTGATTTCGTACGGCTTATTTTTGTACAAGGAGATTAAAGGTACTTTATTGATTTTTAACGACATTTTAAAGATGGATGTAGCAATAACAAAGGCACAACATGGTGAAGCAGATAACCTTGTAGTGTATATGTATTGGACCTTTTAGGGGATGTGTCGTTTTAACCGGTGTTTCGGGGCTTTTTGTCAGCCTTATTTTTTACCAGCTTATTTGCTCCCTCAGATTTATTTAATAGCATCTCAAATTGGCCATTCAACATGACAAGTATACCGTTAACCCGTTTACGGCTTTATATTATTTACTTGATTTCGATGGCTTTTTTCTATAGAATCTACATAGAAGAGAGGGTCTATCTCAAACCATGCGAATTGTTTCTTATTTATTATCGGACGCCTCCTGCAGAAATTGGTCGCCAGTGCGCCTTCACTGCGTTTTTGCGCGGGGAGGAGAAAAACAGGCGGAAAGGCGGAGATCCTTCAGGATGATCGACGCTTATGTCACCTTCTCGCAGCTCGAATTGCGAACGCGACCCATAAACCACGTGACCCCCATGGATCAGTACGAAACTCTCTGTAATATAGATTATCTAGCTCTTCCTGGCCTACACTGACGACACCGACACTTATCTCCGAAAAGTTATGCATTTTGTTACTGTCGTCAGCGTGATGTAGACAAATTTACAAAACGCTGCCCGCTTCTTCATGTCTATCTTCATTTAATATTGATTTCAGCGGAGATCTCATAAAACACACAAGCACATGCATACTCGTTATGCGTTTTAATACAAAACGTATAGATATGATACGTGCAATTCATGCAAATGTGCCTGCGAGCTGGACAAGCATAACGATAATAATCTCTGGAGAAGGGGCACAAGCGGTGATGTGGTTGTAGTTCCCGAACTCCGTTTGTGATTGGTGCGCAGAAACTCATCAGTTGTGTTCTTGATAGAAAAAAAACAATAACATAAACTGGACTCATTTATCAGTGCGATGCTGCACAACTCAATTGGCAAACTACTCAAGTCCTGTATTTTCGCACTTTAGTGTACTCCACATCTGCTTAAACGAACTTCTGATAGGTGAGCTTTTCAATACTTCGGTAGTTTAGGTCAAACTACCAAAGTATTGCAAACAAGGGATACCTAGAGTATACCACAGCAGTATTTACGATTTTCAGGTATTTTAAGAGCATTCTGCAAGTAATTTTGATCGCTGCATTTTTATTAGGGTTGGAGAATATTTTGCATGAAATAAATACATATTTTAAGAAATCTGTGTGAAAGGTATTTTGTGCCTACTAATTTAGTATTTAACTATTTCAGAACGTATTAAGAGTACTTCAAATGTAGTTTCAATAAAGGTATTTTAAAAAGATTATCAGAAATATATTTTAGTACCAAGTAGAAAAAAAGAAGTGTATATTTTCGGTATATTTTGTGCACTTACAATTGTTAACTGCACTTGAAACACAGTCAAATTAGAACGTGGTATATTTCAAACGTCTTAGTTTTCGCTAAGGGAAAGGACACACACAAATCTCCAAACTCACTAAGTGACTGGTTTGCGACTGAAAAACTCCATCGCATCCTGATATCAAACCAGGGACCACTCCATGATCCCTAATCCCTGGTTGGATACCAGGACCAGCCTGATTTTTTCAGTAGAGTCACCTACAATTTTTTTTAGTTTTGTGTTTGTCCTTTGTCCTCTTCGTTCCCCTTCTTTAGTGATTATTATTGTTAGAGATGATACGTTTCACTGGAGTGTATTGCCCGAAACCCAGTATAAGGAAACGTCTGACGGCTTGGAGCTGAGCTAGTTGGTTCATTGCTTATAGAAGGTGCAATGCTTGGGAAATTTCTGGCTTGCAGTATGAAGGCTACATGCAGAGAGAGACATTCAGAGAGACAGCATATAACAGTTTTCTTTTTTGTGTGCATTTTTTTGTTGTGTGCCTATATGTTGAATGCATCCGTGTCATGAAACAATCATAAAATGTATTGTTCGTGGGATAGTGCGTTAAAATTGGTAGTTTTGCCAACATTCCACTCCTGTAACGGCCTGCAGGCCAACAGTATGAATAGATAAATAAATTACATTAAAAGTGTTGTGTTAAGTCACTAGCTTTAAACCTTTTTTACCAATTTACTTAACAACTTACCAATTTTTACCAATTTGCAATATGCACTCTAAGAAAAAAAATGGGCTTGAATTACTAGCCCAAGGGAGCAAATACGCTGCCACAACCATTAGTTTTCTAGGGCAGCAACGGTAATGAGAGCAACCTTTGCTCCCCTACCTTTAGTCCCTCAAAGCTGAACCGCCAGGGCTAACTTTTGCACTCTTGCTTAAAGACCACCGGCACTAAATGCTGCGCCCTCATCTATTTAATTACTAAACTGCGCCCTCACACACCCAGGTGGCGCTAGTCAACGTCAGATTCAAAACTGGTAAAGATACGCTGTCACTGTGGTAGATCTTTTCCACACTCATTACGTTCACCTATGAAAAACGCTCATTTCCCTTTTTCACACCTATTATGCAATTTAACATAGACAAGGAATTAGAGCACAGATGACACACGCGCAACACAAACCCGCAGACACGCTAATTCAATCGCCACCCCTCTAGGATACCCATGCGCCTTTTATACTGATCACACGAAACGAGTCATTTCGTCAGTGTCCATCTAAACCGTGAGCGATGTTACAAATGTGGTGTTGCTTTCGCACCAATATTATTCTTCAATATGCTTCTCCAAAATTGTTGCTAAACTTTCCAATGAGTGTATCTCTTACTAAGAAGTAGCGGTAGACACAGTAATTATTTGTGACAGTCTATAAAACAGCGTCCTCATATAGGCTCCCAGCAGCCATGTTCTCGCTTCCCCGCATAGACTGCCCTACTTGTCGCATGAGCGTCTCCGTGGCAACCACATCGTCTCTTGCAAAAAAAAAAGGACACATTTTAAGATTACAAACAAAAAACAGAATGAACTTTCTTTGTCTTTGGAAACGTTTTTACCACGTGCTACGTGGTTATTTTCATGTCAGTTAAACAAAAAAAAAAGTATGAACGCTTTCAAAGCAGGTTCCAAAGAATGAAAAGAGGAAGGACGCCAGGACAGTGGTCAAAATCCGTATGGCCAGTGCAACAACAATGGCGGCGCTGGAGTCAACGTTGGCTTCCACGACGTGCTGGAACAGAGGCTGCGATCGTTATAAAGTCAGCTCCAACCCTTAAACATGCCCCCTCCTTCAATTCTTGATGCTACGATTGTCTGCGGATACCTCCCCCTGCGTTCTGAGACATCAAGTGCGTCGCTAACGCTGGCCATCGGCGATGCAGCAGACGCCGCCATCTTGTCCGCGCGTTTGGAAAGGTGCACCCTGTCTTAGGAGGAATAATGGCTGCTTTTGCTCCCGCGCGCCCCTCGGTTAGTCTCGGTCGAGTGCAGTTAGTCCTCGACATTTGCGCACGGTACCTAGCTCGAACCAGATTGTCTCTTCGGGGAGCAAATGGGAGTCCAGAAGACCAAATGCGGCCGTTAGTCCTCTCAGACTATCTTTTTTTCTTAGAGTCTGGTGACTGGCACGCTCATATATCTTTCCTTTTGGAAACTAAGCGAACATAAAGACTCCATTAATGATACCATTGGCTTTCACCACCTATCTCACCCGGTGTTTTTCTATCGTGTCGCAAACACAGCTAAAGTTCAATCAAAAAAAAAAAAAAAAAGATCGGAGTCTACACATTTCTGTTTATTTTTGTTCACACAATAATCATAAATGCTTACCTTGTTACCATAAGAAAAGTATACGGTTATAACCTATGGCGTTCTTTACCACTGATTTATGCCAAGTCATACCACAGAGTTTTATTCTTAGTGAGATTTGATGCCATTGAAATATTAATGGGGTTTGTTCATTTTTTTTCTGATCTAAAGCCCTCGGCTGATTTAAGCGATGGAGTGGGGAATTATGAAATAAAACAATCAAAAGTGAACCACACCTTTTTCGCTACAACTTCTTCCACGGTAGGATCATAGAAACTGGAACTCGGACATCGTTATTGTTTCTTATTAACGACTCATTATCAAATCGCAAGCAATGTTGTAATTAGAATGAGGTTAAAAACATTGTTCTCTCATTTAGTCGAGATATTATCGAAAATCTGAGAGAGGTGAATTTTTGTTAAGCAACCTTTGCAAGGACGAATATTCTCACCGAAATTAACCGAACGGCGGTGACCCTCACTAGGCGAAACTGGACGCTCATGGCATTGCATTGTTTTCGCCATTTGAAAATTCTAGGCATTCAAAGTTTATATCGAATATTACTCGAAGTTGGGCTGCTCTTGTCCACACCCTTCATGGACGAACACTCCCTGCAAGAATTCTCTGCTGCCAAGGCGCTTTCGTTCACTTGGCCACAGACACTGACCTGATGAGGTGCGCCTGGTGCAAAGAGGAGGAGGTGGGCGAGGAGGAGGGCGCCTGGGCCGGCAGCTGCCTGACGAGCGCCATGCAGACAGCCAGCGCCAGCGCCCAGCACCACATCTTTCCAGCACCTGCGCACGCGCGAAGACCGATACCAAATCATCAGCCCGGATGCACAGCAGAAGCAACGATGGCACCGATCAAACAAACAACGTGAGGCGAGGCACATTACACGGAGCTGACGATACAGCCGAAAACAGGCTGCCACAGCTCGTTGCCAATGACACTGACAAGAGACTGCTCGTTAGGGCCAGATCTGGTTCTCGTCCACGCGCGGGAGACGTGGCAAACAATTGCTCTCGATTCCTCGGTTGCGCTCCTTATCTTATTTGCTCTATGGTATCGACAAGTGCGCAATGAGTTTATGCGGCAAGTGCAAAGCAGCAGTAATGACGTATTATAAATTTGCATCGCACATATCCTCTTGTGTCACGTCCTCCGAACCTTAACACGATCTCTTTACATAATGCATTTAGGCTGATACCTAAGAGTTTCAAGAAGTTTCGGTGAGTGAATTTCGTTCAAGATGGCTGTTCTATCAGGTGCAAATAAGGGAACAGAGTTCCGCTTGCAGTTGTGAGTTAAGTAACAAAAGGGCGATAATTCGGTTGCACAACATTTTCAGAGCTTGGTCAACAATCTATTATAACAGAAGGCAAAGGTCCAATAGTTCCTACTATGAACTCATATTAGTTCTTTAGGTGGAGGTTGAATGGTGCTGAGGTACTGAAATAGGGGGAGCGTTACATATGCCAAGAGCTCGCTTCCGTGAACGGTATCGGCTCCTTATATAAGCTGGCATTAATAGGGTTAATGGCTGTAAAACGAGCTGAAACAATACGCACCTACTGGTTAAAGTTCGATTTTTTAGCAAGTTTGTATTTTAGAGTTTAATTTTACATTTCACGGCATAGCGCAATTCCTGCGAAAAATATTAACATGCTTAACATTTCGAATCACAGGCTCGGAACCAGATAACTGAGCCGCCCGAGAGTCTCGATAGTCGGGCTTCTACCGCAATCTACGCTGGGAGCACTTTCAGATTTGGTTGTGGTTAAAAGGGAGCTTGATTTGCATTTTTGTTCACTCTTAATATTGTCACGGGTAGTGACCAAAAATAACAAATAAACAGGAAGAAATAAACGTTTAATGTGGCGAACTTGTGCCAAAAATAAAAGAGTACAAAAGATAATAATAGAGCGTCGCGGGCGTCGAAGTCGGCGTGGCAGCAGAGTCGAACGCTGGGGCGAGACTGAATCCTGCTTGCCAGGCGGAGCCGCCTTTGTACACGCGTTGGCTTCTGGAGCGTTCGATGTAGAAGGTTCGACGCGGAGAACATTCTAACCTCGAATCAGCTAGACGGTTCTCGAATTCACTAGAACATCACATTACAGTGTAAACAAAAATGCGTAGCCGCGGCCAGGAATCGAACCCTGGCCCTTCGCGTGGGAGGTAAGCGCGATAACCGTTGTGCTACGGCCGCGGTGCCTACTTGGCGCGCGGCAATATGCATGACATTTTCCCACGAATGAGACTACTAATCTGGACTGTGACTTGGTTTATGATTTAGGTACTACCACACCAAGACCGGCTGGTCTTTCTTGTGCATATGAGAAATAACGCATAATCATAATGATGATGATAATGATAGTGATTATTATTATTAATATTATTATTATAATTCTTATTATAATAATTATTATTATTATTAATTATTATTATTATTATTACTATTATTATTATATCAATTCCACTATTCTGCTGTGTTTGTAACTTTGTAGTCTTCTTTTTACGTTTTTCGTTTTGGTGGAAGTATTATTTTTGTGTGTTCTTGTATTGTGTTTTTTTTTAACCTCTGCGTGTTGTCTGCGGTTCGCATGTTTCTCTTCCAAAGTTTAGGTAGTTTTTGCGGGTTCTCCTTTTTTCAAGCTCACTCTTCATTGAAAATGGCATCACTACCCTTCCGAAAAAGCCAGTATAACTTTTCGCTAACTAGATTACGGGACAAGAAATCTAACTATGTATCTTGCTGGAAACTTGAAATTTAATTTGCAGACAATTGTCTGCAAATGGAATTTGAAGTTTCCAGCGATAAATCCAGCTAGATTTCCTGTTACATAATCAGGTTAGCAAAAAGTTATACTGTTTTGATTTTTTTCTCGGTAGGTTTTCTGTCATCACATTGTGCTCACTAAACGCAATTGCGGGTCCAAGTCCCACAAGCCATTAGAGGCTTTGACAGGCTCGAAAAACCTTTCTCGACTCTTTACGCGTGTAAATAATGTCATTATTAGCAGCAGTAGTAGTCGTAGTAGTACTAGTAGTATTAGTGGTAGTAGAAGTAGTAGTTACAGTAGAATTTGTAGGAGTATTATTATTATTAGTGTTAGTAGTAGTAGTAGTAGTAGTAGTAGTAGTGGTAGTAGTAGTAGTAGTAGTAGTAGTAGTAGTAGCAGCAGTAGCCGTAGTAGTAGTAGTAGTAGTAGTATGTCGTCTCCTTTAAACCGAATGCTTGCTGTTTCTATCAGAAGGTGGTGTCATATAAGCACAACTATCGAGCGACTCCGTGGTATTCCTCGAGGTCCCCTGTTGAAACTTTCAAGGATGCCATGGTAATTGAGAAGAAAACTCAATTAAGCCTCGAGATATTGTAACGCAAACATCATCAGTAACTTATATTTCATTGAAAATTTGACCAATCTGCGTAAAGATGCCGATTATATGTGCTGGTTTTCCATCCGGTATGTTCACAAGGAACGTAGTGGCGTTAATGCCACTGTGTTTCTTCTGACATTAATGCCTCAAGGAACGCAGCGGTCCCACTGTCTCTATATACTCTTAACCAGTCATTTGAAAAATAACTTTGCAGGCATCACTGCCACAGCAATGCACAATTAGACTCGTTTGCTTTTGATTCGGAATAATGAAAGAAAAAATGCGTATAGCGCAGGAGAGCTAATGCATATTGAACACGATAATAATTCTAGAACTGGGGAACAACAGAGCCAAAGCAGTAAAGGGCAAAGAATAAGAAGGGAGAGAGAAATCGTCTGGAAGGAGACGCTGTCTTTTCTCTTTCCCTCTGCCCACTTACTGTTTTGACACTGTTCTTCCTCAGTGACAGGCTTACCATAGTGGCGTTCAAAGTATACTTCGTTCAACAAGCTTTCTTTATATTTAGATCGTCTAATCTAGAAATCTGGCGCCCTGAAACCCTACCCTTCATTACAATAATGGATTTCCGAACCTACATATTGCTAGCAAGACCTCCTCCGCACTCTAAAAAAAAGGGTGTCACGGGATACACGCATGGGGGGTGTAAATGCTTGTCATATATACTACACCCTTTGGGGGAATAATTGCACACTCCAAATATGGGAGTACGTGTACACCCGTTGGTGTGGTGCACATGTGCACCTTTTTCTACAGAAATCTCACACGAAGGGAACACAGGTGCACCCCATTCAATGGTGTACGGCTACACCTCTTTCTACACCCAATGAAAGGAAAGGGAACACAGATGCACTCCGTTCGAAGGCGTACCATTGCACCGCTTCATAAACCCGCCTCACACAAAGGGAACACAGCTGCATCCCGCTCAATAGTGTACAATTACTCCCCTTTCTACACCTACTGCTCTCATAGAGAACACGGGAGAACCCAGTTGAATAGTGTACTGTTAGATTTCTTTCGATACCTACTGGACTCGAAGAGAACACAGATGCACCCGATTCAAAGGTGCATGGTCACACCACTTTATGCACCCGCTTCATAACTAACTTCATAAACCTATATAAGACATCAAGGAAACCTTTAAAAATGTATGCGCCCCGGTGATTGGAAAAAGGCAGGTAAACGGACACACGGTATTGTTTTCAAATCTCATAGAAGTTTATTCGACACCTTATTCCGTAACGAGAAAAGAGTCAAAGTACAGGCTAGCTGGTGGAAGTCAACCATTTCGTCGTTTACCCTGAGACTGGGGGGTTTTGTTGAAGAGCAGAAGAAACAGAAAAAACAGACAGGTCTCAAACTCAGCTACACGTTTATTTCAACAACTTCCTTTTATATAGTTCGTTTTCGTCGTCAACAACCAATCACATACGACTTGTCCTTTGCACCGTGACTTTACAGGTTCCACTATATCACAAAAGAAGCGGACACTCCCAACGTTTCCAAGTGAAAAGGTTCTAGCAGAAGATATGCCTCACAAAGCCCCAAGCAACTCTTTTTTGTGTCCTCACAATAAACAGGACAACAGCCCACAACAACATCCCACAACAACATCCCACTCAAAACTGGTCACCTCCAAAATTGTAGAAAACAGACAATACACACCGGTACACACCACAGAAAATACACACCAAAGAAGCCTTTCAGAATGACTAACTAAAAAAAAAAAAAAAAAAGCACTTAAAATTGTAAAAATTGCTTGCAGCGGTTCCCTATTTGCATAGAAGGTTGACTAATGCAATTTCCCAACGATCTAATCCTAATTGTTTCTCTTACCACCCTTTTAACATCGTTCCTTTCCTTAACAACTACATCCGTTCCAGACCAATCCGTTGTGCAGTTTCTACACTCCTCCAGATGCTTAGCCAACTCCGAATTTGCTGCATTATTTTTAACATTCCTTTTGTGTTCTGTTAAACGATCGTTTAAACGAATCCCGGAGAAAAGCTCACCGGAGAAAAGCTCACCGGAGATAAGCTCACCGGAGAAAAGCTCACCGCGAAACCTGCAGATGCGGAGAAAAGCTTACCGATTTTTTTCTTCTTGTTATATAGAGACTGTTGGATCATGCGTAACGTATATCAATTTATTATCATTAAAGTTCGTCAGCTGTGTCAAAAAGAAAATGTCTTTTTTGTATTATTTGCCAAGCTTCTTAAGTATAGTGCTCCCAAATTAATAATGGCGGGATAGTTTTTCCTGCGGCTTACTCTCTAAGCAACTAAAGCCTAAATGAAAATTTTATGAACTTGAATACCATAAAAAAAGTTCGAAAACTTATGTCTCCCTAAAACCTAAAAATGAAAACTGTAAACACCAAAATCCGAAAGTGCATGCACAACAACGCGGTGCCTGAAATTTTCTTAGAAGCTTTTATTAACCTTTGAAAACAGGATAAAACAGTCAGCAGGATATTGAGGCTTCTTTCTTCCCCGGACATGGACGTTTTCAAGCCGTTCGTGTTGGTGTTTCCGCACGTTGCCTTTGTGTGCTAGTGCCCTTCTAAGGTGAGCCACTCATGACTTTCAGAGCTACACACTGGCACCGTTGTTAGTCGTGACCTATATAAGAAATAGTCTTCTGTAAGGTAGCGAATAGGGCGAGTTCGTAAACGTTATACATGATGAAAACCGCTCAAACGACGACGACGGAGTGAAGACAACAAACACGACAGGACGAAGCTGTTCTTGAAACTGAAGTTTTCTTAGTGAAATTAACAGAAAGAAAACAGCGTAGCCGACACTGATTGCATCAACAAACACCTACTTAACTATTAGGCACTACAGAATATTTGGAGCTGAAACGGTTCACACACCGCTATTAATATTAGCTCACAAAGAACAAACCTCTTTATTTAACAGAGCTACCGACGGCGCACCCTGAGTTGTCAACAAATTGCTGTCTTTTTTACCGGTGTACGATGTTTTGATAACATTTTTGCGGCTTCAATATTATACAGAATGGGTGATTACTAATCTCTGAGGAATTAGTAAATATGCCCAATGACCTTCAAGAATATTACAAGAAAGAGGACATTTTTTTTTAAATGAAGTCGCGAATGCGAATTGTGTTAAATTGCCTCTTGACGCAGAATCCGCTAAGTTAAAAAAAAAATCGGTGAGCTTTTCTCCGCATTTGCCGGTTTTGCGGTGAGCTTTTCTCCGGTGAGCTTATCTCCGGTGAGCTTTTCTCCGGTGAGCTTTTCTCCGGTGAGCTTTTCTCCGCCGCCCCGTTTAAACACCGTAAACACCGTATTCCGTAAACAAGTACAAACTTACAAGCAATCCATGATACGTGAAGGGGTACGAAGAAGCTGTTACACAGCTGAGAAGATTACTAAGCAAAGAAGAAACAGAAGTGAGTCTTAGGTGGTGCCTATTCTCCAAGCAGCCGGCAGAATTATTTTCACGAAATTCCACCGGCAGTCGCCATTCATTCATCGAACAACGTTTCATCGACAGCTGTACCCGCGAAGTGACGTGTACGGGGGGGGAGGGGACAGGTTGGTTAACATTCTCGTAATGAGCCGCCGCAGACTGTTGCAACGAAGCGGCGTGAACGGGTGGGCTGAGTCGGTGAGCACGCGCGTCAGAGATACACGCGCGACAAAATGTCCCTACAGCGTGCATTTTGCATAACGAGTGACGATGAAACGTTGGTGTCGATGAAACCTGTCTACAGAACGTGTATCAACGAAAACGTGTTTTCACAGAACGCCACTAGAATAAGAATGTCAGTATTCTACCTGCAGTTGTCACATAGTTCTAGTCAGCTAATAGCAGGTGACTGCGGATATAATTTCGAGGAAATTATTCTCCCGGCTTCTTGAAAATAGACACTGCCTAATTCTAGAAGCAATCCGGAACGGAACGGTCAATTGCATTGCAGAGCGCTTACGATGAAAATGCCGGACTCGAAATATGCAATCCAAAATATACGTCGACACGGGCACTGCAGCACAACACAAACACAAAAACGAAAGGAAAGGGGTCCGTGAAGATTCAACACGATGTGGCAGAAGCAGTAATTTGCCAAACCGAGCACTAAACACATCACATGAATTCCTGGACTTTTTTGAAGAAATCGCTTGTTGCCGATATACCCGTAGGACTTTTCACACACTGGAAATCTTGGTACACTCGAATACGTTGTCGCGGACGAAATCTAGGGCAGCCCCGCTGGTCGCAGTACAGCACACAAGAAACTAGGCCGAGAAGCAGACATTCCGAGGTTGGGAAAAGCTTTTACGTCATCCGTGAAACCTTTACCACATGATCACGCTCCTGCCGTCACCCGCGCCCAGACAGCGGAGTCGAGGGATGAAAAAGCCTCCGGTTCATTGGTCCGGCAACTGCGCACCTTCTTTAATGCTTTCAGCTTAGGGAGAGAAAGAAAAGAAAATAGCAGCTCCTTCAAGGCCAAAAGGGGGGCGCCCTCGCAAAGGCTTATGTTCAGGGGCAACCCAACAGAGAACACAACGAGAGGATTTGTCACTTATATCCTCTTGAAAGTTCGACTCAAAGTTAATAGTGCAGTGGATGCTATCCGTGGCCTTGGCTTTCAGGTAGATGCCGTGCTCTTCCTTATCTCTAGCTTGGAGACTAGTCACGTGATCCTACCCGGAGACCCGATTGGCCTAAAACAAGCATAGCGTCCACCCTACTGTCAATACCGAGTGTACAGGATAGCTCCATACTTCCGAAGAAAC